ACACCAGCCTTCCTCCGCGCGAACGGCGAGCCTCCATTTCGAGATTATGCGAGCCGAGCGGCGGGCACGGCCTCCTCTCTCGCCAGCCTCCGAAATCCCACGAGCGTTCACGAGACTACCGAATCGTTAATTAGACACCGGTGTAGTAGTTCTCGTCCAGCCGAGGCGGCCGGAAAACCGGGATTTCTCCGATTTCCGTCACGTCCGAGGGACTCGATAAACCGGAGCTTAGGCGAGAGTTGCGGGCCAGAAGCTACCTGTGTGCCAACAGGTAGAAAGGCGCCAGGGCTGCGCTCTGCCTTTTTTTCAGCCGACCCAGCCTGTCGTAAAGTTACCATTCTACCTGGCCACGACGCTGCAACCGGCGATACCGATCGACTACCTCGAAACTGGGCATTCGTGACGACCGGGGGGCCCCCTTCGGAAAATTCGTTCCCCAAACGTTGTCCCGTACCCATCCCTGTCCCGGTCGTGGCAGACCGATCAACCATTCCCTTTCGAAGCCGGGAAACGTTTCCTACAGGTATATCCCCCGTTGCCGTCTACAATGGAATCGCGCTGCGACGAGGGAGAACGGGTCCGGTATGCGGACGGACCTTCGTCAACTCGGTCGCTAACGAATCCTGCGACCGAGAAGAGGATATCCCGGAGGGAATCCGCGCGGGATCCGGGAGGAAATGCCGCGCGCGAGAGCACCGTCTTCTAGGAGGGCTAGGATCCGACGTGGCTAGTGTTTGCCCGTGCAAAATATTTGCGGAAAGAGGCGAGCTCAAACACGCCGGCTCTCCGCCGATGGCCTGTCATTTTCCGAGTAGTACACGTATGCAAGCCGGCCCCGGGGTTCTCCTCGGCGATCGTCAGCCAAGAGAAAGAGAGGCCGTAGTCCTCGAAGCGGCGCGGCGAGCCGCTCCGCGACGCGTTCGGCGCGTTCGGCACGTTTAGGCGCGTGCGAAAGCGCGTGTGTGCTCTCTCGACCGACTCTGCACACACGCGTTACCTGTGTACACATCGCGTCGGCTTAACGTGCCCGCGCGTCCGTTATCCGGACTTTCAAACAGCCCGCGACCCCCAACCCCGTGCGGATTTATTTGCATGATTACGGAATCGACGCCGAATAAAAAGCCGTCCAAGGTCCGAGCGCGCGTACGTCGAAAGCCGTAAACCGAAAATCGAAAACCCGCGGAGAGAGAGAGAGAGAGAGAGAGAGGGAGAGAGAGAGAGAGAGAGAAAGAGCTTCTTTCTCTCTCTCTTCTGTTTCAGCGGGTCAGAGGAATTTCCGTGTTTTTCGACAACGGGCGACAAACGCGTCGATCACCGTTCTCGCGCGCTTTGATCCCGGCCCAGCTTTATCATCCAATAAAAAGGAGCGCGGCCGGGTAATCGACGCGTATCGCGTTTCGCGGAATATATTTTATTAACAGGCCGGTTAACTCTGCGCGTGGACAGCTAGATTCCGGAGATCCCGCTGCGATTCCGTTTCAATTTACCCGGTTTTCAGCGATAAATTCCGGCGACCCTCTCGTCCCTATTAATTACTATATTCAGTGTCCGCGGATGGACGGGGGTCGCGTCGCGGGGAACGAACGGACGAGGACGTCGGATCTGGGTATGTTACTCGCAAGAGTACGAACGGCGAGGCTCGTAACGTCGTTTCGCAAAAATTCAATAGCTGGAAAAAGAATGGCAGATTTCGCATGCATGCGGCGACGGCGGCGGCGGCGAGCAGAGCCGAGCCGAGCCGAGACGAGAAAGAACGCAGATTGCGAATATTCGACGGCGAGAAGCGTTGTGTTACGGGGACGGGGAAGGTAACGCGGGTAAAACGGCAAACCTGTTCGGACGGAATCCACGCTCCTGACACGGCGCAGTCTGAGGTTCGACGAATCAATGCCTTTCACTGGGATCGTTAATATCTCCGGTGTCGTAAGCCGGCGGATAACGAACGGAAAACGAACATTTTCTCCGTCGCTGGCTCGCCTCTGCGCCGAGATTTATCGTGATCCGCGAGTCGGTGGCCGGCTCGAGCCGCGCGATTATTCGCCGGCCGATCGTAAAAACTACCCCGCGTAAACAATAACCCCCTGTCGACCAGCGCCACCGAGCAACGGTGGCGCAAATCGTTGATTACGAGCAGCTCGTTTTTACCCCGGCCTGGCCCGCGATAATCGCTTTGGTTATTCGCTGGCAGGTTTATCATCCCTCTTGATTACATCGAGCGTGGCCAACCCTTTCGTCACGGCCGCAGATGCGCGCCGATGTACGCACTAACGATGCTAGTAACTCGGCTTAGGGTTACTGCACTCCGAAAATTGGTCCCGACGCGAACACAGTCGCGGATTTTTCCCTGCCGAAGAATGGCTCGGGAATAATGCGACACGAGAAGTCTTTGTACCGTTTAGGACAGTCGGGGAAACAGCGTTCGGGATTAATCGAATTGTCTCGAATTCTGCTCGGTCGAACATTTTATTCGAACGACGATTATTCATTATTCATTATGAATTATTCTACCTGTTTATTCGGATAAGTTATTCGAATACAGATTGTAAAATTATTCGAATAATAATCCGAATAATCGTCGACCGTTTCTGTTTTAAAACACGTAATTTTATAAACATATATATTTATACGAATACGTTCAGGATCGGTTGAGTTTCAACCGATGTGGAATTATAAAATTCATTATCATTTTTATTCGAATCGATTATTTCCATTTTTCGAATAAAATTCTATTTTTATTTTTGTTCTCGCAATATTACGTAGTCAGCGATGAAAAGACTGTGTGTGGACCTTTGCGCAAAATACAATTATCTTGCATCTGTTCTAATTGTAAGAAACAGGAAGCCCTCTGCTAATGTCCCTACTGTTTTAAATTGCGGCTGCGCGTTCTCTCTTCTCATTGATACAAATCAGCAAAGTAACTGTTCGACATGGGACTGAAATGGGTTAATCATCTTTTTTCAGCATTGTTAACTGATGTCGTACAGAGTGTTCCTAGAAATCGATGCATACACGGAAACGCGCAGTTTTATTCTCGAAAGACTGTCGATTTGCTTTCCTAAAAGTGCATCGTTGCATGCACGAGCACTGGAATACGGACGGAAATGAAAATTAAATCGACGACTCCTATACATACAATGCTATCACGGGGGGCAATTTGGATCGAAGTCTATTCCAAAAGTAATTCTATATGACTCTATTTCAAAGTGCTCGCAGTGTAGCGCTATTTGAGAAGTGCGTGCAATATGATTCTACTGAAAATTGTAGATCAATACGATTCTATTATATTGAATTGCAAAGGAAGTCGGAATCCTATTGAATTTATCCCGTGATAGAATTATATTGAACGCTTATTTCAATAAAATCAGGTCACGTATACTTTTTCGAACAGCGTCATATATCGCAAGAACTTTTCAGACGGAATCCTATAGAATTATTTTCGGCTACATCCCTGTACAAAGTGCTCCCTTAAAGTGATATTACGTACGAATAGAAGCCTTTCCAACGTTTCTAATATTACTGCGGAAGAACGTGGCACGTGAACGCGATAATCGTTCTATAGTTTCGCACGGTGTAGAGGTTGCAGAGTAAAGGGTGATGAGGCTATCGACTCAGCTGGTCAGCGGAGATCGCCTAACCTTGAGAATGAAAATGGCAAAGACATTCCTACGTGGTGACGAGAAGAATAGCGTCGGTGTTTCGTCGAAAAGGGGGTTGGTATCGCGGCGAGGTTTCGTACAAAAAAAAGAAAGAAGAAGAAGACGAGCAGAAGGGAAAAAACAGATTCAGCAGCAAGCCGCGGCAGTGGCGCGTGGTAGCTAAAGGGTTAATACCCGCGAGTGAACTAGCTTGTGTTGGCGTTTTCGAGCAGCCGCGAAAACCCTGCCGAGCCTCAATAATACGCGGCAGAAACTACCCCTTGTAAACAATAAGCCCCCGGGGTCGACGGACCGCGATCTAACCCCGAGAAACGGCGGCGTAAATCGTCGATCACAAGGAGCTAGATTTTGTTCGCTATTCGCCAGACGTGCCAGCGAATCAACCCCTCTTAATTAACCCGCGCGTACCCGGCACTCATCGGCGCGCTAGCTGCTGCGTGCGTATAATTACGTGTTCGGGGAAAACAGTCCCCTATAAAAGATCGAAAAACTAGATGTATCGTATCGTTACACGTCGATTAAATGCCACTAGATCCTAACGGTAAAGCGTACCGTCTCGCGCGTACGCGACAGAAAGAAAATCCCTCGGCTTATTAGCCGGCGCGATCGAAATACGTGCATACATATATTCGGCGCAATCATGGACGAAATCACGGACGGACGGACGGACGGACATATTACGCGGCCGGTGATTTACACGAAATCATTTGTGACCAGGTTAATATCAGCGGCTGAACTACCCCGCGTCTACATAATTACGTTTACGAGAAACTATCCTGAACGAACGAGTGGAAACGTCGGTGCATCGTATATCGCGGATCGTTAATCAAAAGAAGAGTGATTTTATTCGCTAGCGAGTCAACTACCCCCTTGATTACCTGCTATGCAGCGAGTGTCTGCTGCCGCGGCTGTGTAATTACTTGTTCGAGAAACAATTCTCCATAAAAGATCCGGGCGCATCGTGTACCGTCGTGTACGAACCATTGATCAAAAGTAGCTAAATCTGACTCGCCTGTAGCAACCACCCTCTAGATTAGCCGCGCGCTATTAGCAGAGCCGCGTGCGTGTAATTACGTGTTCGAGGGACGATTCCCCCATAAAAGATCGCGAGAACTAGGCGCGTCCTACGTGAAAACTAACTGGATCTGTCCGTGCCGCGCTGCGAAAGCTAGACGGCCGCTATCAAAAGTCCCAAGATTTGATTAATAAATGAATAGCTGCGGCTAGCGAGTCGCCCACTCTCGTTACCGCTTAGCGCCCATTAGCGATCTAGCTGCGTGCTTCTAATTACCCGTTCGAAGAACGCTGCCATAGAAAATTGAAAAGTTAGGTGTACGTATTTACCTGTCCGGTAACTGGTCCGCCTTCCTGGAACTCCAATCCGATTCGACGCGCGTTTCCAGCTCCGAAAATTCCACTCCACTGTGCGCGAAGGGGAGACGAGAAGCACACAAAATTCTTGTTTCTTCGACCGTTGTACCTCCGATCCAAATGCGCCCGTGTGTACGCGTGTGTGTGTTTGTTGCACGTACGCGGGACGCGTTCCTAGCGAACCGTTCCGGTGTGTCGCGTTGTGTAGGTGGGTTTGTGTGCGTGTCGCGGTGCTTCGATTCGCGGACAAAAAGAACGGCAGCAGCAAACGATGGAAACAACGGGTAGCAGACGAGAGGGGGTGCGGGAGACGAGAGAGGGTAGGAGGGATGGTCGGTGGTGAGGCGGTGTGAAAATGGGGGGAAAACGGTGCCGCGAAAAATGTTCAGCCGCTTAAAAACGTCGCGGCGAGTGGCGTCGACGCGAATCCGTCGTCGGATTGTTTGTCACGGTCGATAGAGGCACACGGAGGAAAGCAAGCGCCATTTTATCCCGTGCACTCGCGGCAACGCGAAAGGTGGACGGAGGACGGTGCACCGCGGCCTGCGACGGCTATGCACGCTTTCTCTCTTTCGTCTGTGTAGCTCTCTTTATTCCTCTCCCTCGGTTTCGTTCCCACCGTCGGTCCCTTTCTCGGCGGACAAGATTCACCGAGAGCGTTCCTCCGAATCGATCGCTCGATTATCGGGAACGGTATCGCGCCGCGGCGTGGATCCTAGGCACGATGCAGATTCCCGCACTTGGTTCACCACTTTTCTACTATTCAACCTCTCTCTTTCTCTCTCTCTTTCTAGCTATATCTCTACCTCTATCTCTCTTCCTCCCTATACACCTATATCTCTATCTATCTATCTTTCTCTCTCGTTGTACACAAGTCACTGAAACGAAACTCGATCGCAGACCGGCCGGGGAACACTACTACGACCTCGTGCGTCGTTTTCGCGAGACACGCGTCCCTTCGGTACGTTTTTATCAATCTGTTTCACTCGATTGGCTTCTCGCCGTTCGAATCGACGCGGCACAGTTTCTGGGTTTTCGCGCACGCGGGAACCACCGAATAGAAGGCGGCTCGTGGTGTTAGAGGCTAGTTCGACCACCACCGAGAGGTTCTCGCCGAGATATATAGTTCTCTCCTCTTCTCCTCTGTTGTTCTATCTTCGTTCAGGTCTGTCTGTCTGTCTCTCTTGCTCGCGGTACAGAGAACGCGAGACGCGCGACACCGAGCTCGAACACGTCCGTCGTGTGCAGCGAGAGGACACGAACTGAAGCGGCGAGTGGCGAGCCGAGGCGAGCCGAGCAGCTTGCTCGGCTGGTTTCACCGTACCGCTATTCGGCCGTGTTACACCAGCGCCGCCACCGGGGCTGCACCCTCACCGTCCATTTTCCTCGATCCTGTCCTGCTCTCCCGCTCCTGTCGTCGATTTTTCGTCCTCCGACGACGGCACGCCGGTCTCGGCCACCACCAGCTCCTCTCGATCCTTCCCTGCCGCCGACGATCGCGGCGGATCGGTCCTCGGAACTTATCCGCCTGTAAATAATAATGACGCTAACGCCGAGCCACCACTGAGCGGGGTCATTGATTTTTTGAGCCCGTCAAGTGTAAGCCGCGCGCATGCGCGATCGCGCCGCCGGCGTGACATCGGCCGTTCTCATACTCGTTCGCCGATGTTCCGAACGAGAATTTCTGGTGACTTTCGCCGGCGGCTGCGCCGCAGAAATAATGTTCGAAATCGGCTCCGGTTTTCTTCGGAGCTTCCCCCCCGGCCGAGTCCCCCCTCTCTCTCCCGGCTCGCCTCTTCTTTCAGCTCCGAGTCCCTGTTCCACGCTGCCCCGACGGTCCCCGAAGTATGCGAACTCGAATGCGACGTACGTATTCCCATGCGACGGTACCGCCGCGGAATCGCGTTCGACGTTTCAAACGCCGTCTACTACCGGTCACGTCGCACGCACAACGTTTAAATTTGATTTTCCACGAGTCTTTCGAACGCTCCAACCGACGGAACTCTTTCGACACGCCGACGTCGCTTTGAGCGCGAAACTCACCGCGTCACGTGATCGGGGAGCCGATTGCATGCGACAGTCCGAAAGTATCGTTTTCGTATCATCGGATCGTATCGCAGCCGCGTATCAGTGTGAACGGGCAAGTGCTGTATCGTTGTGTATACCGAACCGTATATACGGATAAATACGCAACGGTGATACGCAGAAGCGTTCTGATACATTGATACGAAGCTAAACACCGTGAAAAAATTTGCGACGCTCATCGCGGAAGGTTCATCTTCGTAACGCATTTTACAGCCAGCACGATTCGGTAACGTAATTTGCATCGTTTCCGCGTGGTTTCGACGCAACCCAATATTATTGGGTTGGCAACTAAGTAATTGCCGATATCCGTAAATGTTATATTATAAAATTATCATTATTATTATTATTATTATGTTATTTTTTATTATCCGTGAATGTTAGCAACTGGACAAATTGAATGCAGCGGTCAAGGAAAAGCGACCAGAATTGGTCGATCGTGAAGGTGTCATTTTCCACCAGGACAATGCTAGGCCGCACACGTCTTTGTCCACTCGGCAAAAATTGATGGATATTGCTTGGGAATCGATGTTACACCCACCGTATAGCCCTGATCTCGCGCCATCGGATTACCACTTATTTCGATCCCTGGACAACTCCCTTCGTGGTGAAACTTTTAACGACGACGACGCTGTAAAATCTCGCTTAACTCAGTTTTCGGCCGAAAAGGATCAGACTTTCTACGAGCGTGGAATTTTCAAGTTGTCAGAGAGATGGCAAAAGGTCATCGAACAAAATTGAAAATACATTACAGATTAAACTTCGTTCCAAGTAAAAACAAATTNCGTCCATTTTCCTCGATCCTGTCCTGCTCTCCCGCTCCTGTCGTCGATTTTTCGTCCTCCGACGACGGCACGCCGGTCTCGGCCACCACCAGCTCCTCTCGATCCTTCCCTGCCGCCGACGATCGCGGCGGATCGGTCCTCGGAACTTATCCGCCTGTAAATAATAATGACGCTAACGCCGAGCCACCACTGAGCGGGGTCATTGATTTTTTGAGCCCGTCAAGTGTAAGCCGCGCGCATGCGCGATCGCGCCGCCGGCGTGACATCGGCCGTTCTCATACTCGTTCGCCGATGTTCCGAACGAGAATTTCTGGTGACTTTCGCCGGCGGCTGCGCCGCAGAAATAATGTTCGAAATCGGCTCCGGTTTTCTTCGGAGCTTCCCCCCCGGCCGAGTCCCCCCTCTCTCTCCCGGCTCGCCTCTTCTTTCAGCTCCGAGTCCCTGTTCCACGCTGCCCCGACGGTCCCCGAAGTATGCGAACTCGAATGCGACGTACGTATTCCCATGCGACGGTACCGCCGCGGAATCGCGTTCGACGTTTCAAACGCCGTCTACTACCGGTCACGTCGCACGCACAACGTTTAAATTTGATTTTCCACGAGTCTTTCGAACGCTCCAACCGACGGAACTCTTTCGACACGCCGACGTCGCTTTGAGCGCGAAACTCACCGCGTCACGTGATCGGGGAGCCGATTGCATGCGACAGTCCGAAAGTATCGTTTTCGTATCATCGGATCGTATCGCAGCCGCGTATCAGTGTGAACGGGCAAGTGCTGTATCGTTGTGTATACCGAACCGTATATACGGATAAATACGCAACGGTGATACGCAGAAGCGTTCTGATACATTGATACGAAGCTAAACACCGTGAAAAAATTTGCGACGCTCATCGCGGAAGGTTCATCTTCGTAACGCATTTTACAGCCAGCACGATTCGGTAACGTAATTTGCATCGTTTCCGCGTGGTTTCGACGCAACCCAATATTATTGGGTTGGCAACTAAGTAATTGCCGATATCCGTAAATGTTATATTATAAAATTATCATTATTATTATTATTATTATGTTATTTTTTATTATCCGTGAATGTTAGCAACTGGACAAATTGAATGCAGCGGTCAAGGAAAAGCGACCAGAATTGGTCGATCGTGAAGGTGTCATTTTCCACCAGGACAATGCTAGGCCGCACACGTCTTTGTCCACTCGGCAAAAATTGATGGATATTGCTTGGGAATCGATGTTACACCCACCGTATAGCCCTGATCTCGCGCCATCGGATTACCACTTATTTCGATCCCTGGACAACTCCCTTCGTGGTGAAACTTTTAACGACGACGACGCTGTAAAATCTCGCTTAACTCAGTTTTCGGCCGAAAAGGATCAGACTTTCTACGAGCGTGGAATTTTCAAGTTGTCAGAGAGATGGCAAAAGGTCATCGAACAAAATTGAAAATACATTACAGATTAAACTTCGTTCCAAGTAAAAACAAATTTTTTATTTCATCGAACAAATCGGCAATTACATAGTTGCCAACCCAATAGAACGATCGACTGCACTTACCACTTGATATGTCACCTCTCTTCAACTGCGTAGTCTCTATGCTGTCCTGGGTCTCGAAATGTGCGAACATCGAATACGAAGTATTCCCGGCGAATTATTTGACGATAATTCTTCGCGAACGCGTTCAAATGCGTTCACCGGTTGCATGCACGATGCACGAATTCACTTTTTCACTACTTTTTCCCACTTTTTCCGAGGAAATCACGCACCCGAGACGCGACCGCTGCTTCACCCGCGAAAGGACTCGCGTCACGTGACCGGCCGCCGCGTGCATGCCGGGTAAATTATTGCAACTAACCGCCCGAAATTTTGTGGGACCGGTCACGTGACTAGTGCGGAAGGGTTCATGGGTAATTTCTTGCAAAGTCGGTGCCGCGGTTGTCGTACGGTACGTTTCGTGCTCCGGGTTTTTTTTTGTTTAACGATTTCAACCGGTTAATTAATGTCGCGGAACGATGTTCGTAAGTTACGCGTAACTTCGGTGAACATTGTCGAATATTCGTGCGTCGTTTCGGAACTTTCTTCCGCGTAAAATCGGGCGCCGCGTTCGCGTTGCCGTCGCAATTATCTTTTTCATATTCGTAGCTTACTAAATGATCTCGTTTGTTAATTATCCGACGTCGTAAACGCGCGCGATCCCTGTTTAAATGGCGGAGGCGGAGCGTGCGGTTCGAAAGCACGTTAACCTGTTAACTAGGTTAATTTTCGATCGTGGTTGTCTCTTAGACCGGGTGGTAGAAACGCGAGAAACGGTATTGCGTAACATGTGCGGGTAGCACGTATATATACATAGTTTGGATTAACGGCGATGCAATAAAATGCAGGTGCGGTTAGTTAGTCGAATAAACGGGGAAAGGAAAAGCGCGGCGGGGAAAGTACGCGTGACGCGTCGATGCGCGTCGGCCGGTTAACAGGTTAACAATCCGACGAGTGACAAAGTGTCGGTACGTCAAAGGGAAGACGGCGGCCGTCGGATGGGGAGCCAGTTCCAGAACAATCGTTATCGCGAACCTGCAAACATTTTTATCTCATCGATCGTGGGACTGGAATTAAAAGGCAACCGGAGGCGAATTCAACGCGACTCTATCATCCGGACATCGACTGTTGGTGAGTCGCTTGTTGCTTCTTTTCCATGGTGCTTCTTCCTGCCGCCATGCCGGGTTATAAAGTATCCGCGCCATGATCTTTTCCAACGAATCCATTCTTCCGAGCATCGCTTATTACCGTACGTTTATTTCTTTTTAATGCCACTTACATGTTAACAATAGCGGTCGATAACAATGGTACACCGGCCTGTTATCTCTTATCGCAGACCGTTTCGCAGATAAAAACTGGCCAATCGATTCTCGGATTCTGATTAACAATGTTCGACGGGAACAAGTTGTTCATGCTTCAGGAATTTTTTCTCCGTAGAGCGTCGATCCGATATCCGGCGTTATTAGTCCGCGAATTGTTAGGTTATTTCTTAACCTGCAAAAGACGGGCACGCGCGCTCCGATAATTTCTGCTTTTTCTTTCGAGATTACTGCTTCGAAGATAGCGTTATTAAAAATAGCGTAACAGAGTTGCTTCTACCGTTCTCTCTTTTCAGAACGTCGTCGTTTCAAAGGCTGGACAAGTATCGTAGGATAGGCGATCGCCGAGGCACAGGATCGTTAGTCGGTATCTAACTCGGCAGAATCGTTCTAGAAATAGTTCAAAGAACGATTATTCTTAGCTGGCACGAGTCCTGTCGAATGTCGCATAAACAGCCACCTAATATCTTTCACTACCCAGAAACCCTGGGGGTCTTGGGAGGGTTCCAGTGATTCTCATTTGCCAATAGAGCCCCCCGAGGGTAATCGTCGAGACTCTTCAAGGTCCATTGCACTTTATCAAGGACTTCTTGGTGGTCTCGCGGAGCTAAAGGGCTCATCGGTGAACCGAAGGAACCGTTTAGAACCGAATCAAAATTCCGGACGTCGCGCGGCGACATAGAAATATGAACCCATAAGTAAAATAATTACCGATAGATGGTTAAACTACGCGGGCTCGTTAAACTACAAGTCCCGCTACTATTTTACGAGTTTGCACTTTGCGGCACAAAATGGTTCTGATTATCATCCCGGGCAGTTAACCGGGCAGA